ATGGAGCCAAAAGGGGAGCCCTTGATTTGCTTGCACCTATAACTGCCTTACACTATTGCTTAGAGTAAATCACTCCTGTGTGTATGTGTAGCTCCTATTTAGGAAATAGGAACTTGAATCTGTCTTGAACATATGCTACTCCAAAAGGCTCTTAGAAGAATTAACCACATATATATATATATATATATTCCAACAACAGTCGGAGGAAATAGGTATTGTTTATCTACTGTGTGCTATTGGAAAAAACCAAAATAAATGAACAGAAAACCTTGGAGACTCTGAGAGAGTAGATCCTAACCCTCAATCACACAACTATGGATGTGATCCATGGAATTCTCACAGTAGTAGTAGGAATACAACTGGATCCAAGGTGACCTGGAGCAGGCCACCCAAACCACTCTGGCCTGCAAGACATCTTGGTGGCTAAACAGGGTCCCCTATAACCAATCCAGCTGATGACTTCAGACTCCGCTTGAGTGTAGACAGGAACATAGTGACTTTTCTGTTGCTGTAATAAAATACATGGTCAAAGGCCACTTATGGAAGGGAGGTTGTATTTAGGCTTACAGTTCCAGAGGGAGAGTCCACATGGTGGGGAGGCATGGCAGCAGGCAGCAGATCATGAAGCGGAGAGATCAAATCTTCAAGAGCAAAAAAAACAAAAAACAAAAAACAAAGCAGGGAAAACAAAATGGAAAAAGGACAGACAAGGCTATAAACTCTGAAAGTCCATCACCAGTGACATGGTTTTTCTAGCATGACTGTACCATGTCCCCAGACAGCACCACCAACTGGAACCAAGTATTCAAATATCTGAGTCTATAGGAGACCGTTTTTCAATCCACCACAAGTACCTTCCAGATTATTTCAGAAAACTCTGGAACTATCTGAATTCTTCATATTTATCATTGTGTGATAAAGATTAGACATTCTTTATAAGACTCTTGATGCTTAAATGCTTCAGTGCTTGGAAAAGAAAATAAGAACCCACAACTCATATATGCTTTGTTGAAGATAGCTATCACAGATGTTGGTTTTGCTTGTTTTTCTGTTTTTTCATCACATCACATGTATATCTTTGAGCATGGTCCATGAATTCTTAAAAAAACATTGTTTTGTGCATGCAAAGATCGTTGGTTTTACCTGATTCAAGAGTGACCAGTAGTTTCATTCTTTATAGCTCCCGTGTCCCTTGGTATCCATCTCAATAGCTTCCTTTCAAATTCTTAGTGTCAAATAGTTTGCCTAGGCTTCCCTTTATAATGTAGCCCTTGTACATGGGAATAAAACAGGTCAAGTGGGTTATTGTGGGTAAAATGGAGAACAAGCTAAAGAGTCCCCAGGGAACGTGTATGTTTGCGAACTGTTCGTTCAACTTTTCATATTTCTGCTCTGCATAATGAAGACAAATCATAATAATAAACAACAACACCACTGATAACCCATGTATCAGCGCCCTGCTCTCCACCCCTGAAACTTACACCGGGTCTGTCATTTGTTTTTGAACTCTAATCATTAATCCATAAAGGGTTTATCTAATGACCATTTGAAGAGTGTCCAGTGATGTGCTCTCAGTGGTGTTGACTCCCCTTGGATCCACTCCTGCCGTCCTTGTGTGAACATCGAGGAAGACCATCCAGAGAGCAGCTGCCCCTTTGCTGGTATTTGGTGTTTGTCAAGGATAGTGGTTATTTACCACACCAGGAATCCAGGGCTTAGGATTCTCAGGTGGTTCCCGTTTCCAATTTGGTTCAGGTAGAACATGGCCCCTCTTCAAACACCAGTTCAGCCCAGCTTTTTTCCAGAAAGATAACGAAAAGAATTGAGCAGTGGTAATGAACTTGTACAGTTACTATGATTACTTCTTCGGGAAGTTTCTATGGGAAATGTTGACCTCACAGACACACAGAACTGGGCATTTATTCCTGGTATTGTTCTGTGCCTTTGCTGTAGGCTGGCCAGTGGCTGTGTTAGAGCCCTGTGTGGAAATCACAAAAGGTAGATTTTGTAGACAGGCCAGTGACTAGGAATGGATACTTTCTCTCATGGATACTCTAGTTTGGAAGCATAGACCTAGAGTAAACTCATAATCTTGCAGTATTGTTAAAGCAGTAAACAGCAAAAGCCTTTTTGGTTTTGTTTGTTTGTTTGTTTTGTTTTTCTTTTTAAATTGATTTTATTTATTTTGAGACAGTTTCACTATGTAGCTCTGGCTGTCCTGGGAGCTATTATGTAGACTAGGCTGGCCTTGAACTCACAGAGATCTACCTGCCCTGCCTCCCAAGTGCTAGGGTTGAAAGCACCACACCTGGCCCAGTTTTTCTCTGAAATTAAACGCTACAGCCAAGTCATATAATTTCTGAGTTATATGCCTTTCTGCTACATTGGCAAAATACGACTCCTTGCCCATGTCTTTCTCTCTCTCTCTCTCTCTCTCTCTCTCTCTCTCTCTTTCTCTCTCTTCTCTCTCTCTTTTTTTCCTTCTTTCTTTTTATTTTTTTGATCAAGATATAACAGTTCTTTAATGAAGGTTAAAAGATCAAAAGGTACATGTTCCCAAGATGAACCGTTAACAGTCTAGTTGGGAGAGAATACATCTGCCTCTGTAGAGCATTAGAATAGTGCCCAACTGATTAAAGTAGAAGTAGGTAAAATCTGCAGGAGATTCGGACAAGGACATTAGCAGGGAGAACCTTCCTGACTAGAGGCTTGGCAAAGAAGATGGTTTTTAGATGCTAGGTGAATTCGCAAGAAGGCAGCAAGACCCTTTTTCAAGGGCATTCGAGCCTGATGTATAACAAGAATTCCTTGTTTATAGTTTTAGTGCTAATTCAAATATGAGACAATGCAGGATCAGAAGTGGGTAGACATGTTGGCGGAACTCAGAACAGGAGGCGCTTATACACCATGCATAGTGGGGCTTTGTATTTGACCGTCATGCTGCTCCTTTGTTTCACATGGAAAGTTCTTCTAAGTACTTCAGTAATTGGTATCTTAAAAAAAAAATCAGCTCCCCTGGTGATAGGATATGATGAAACTTCTTATTCTCATGCAATAATTGGCAGCAGAAGTTAAGAGGTAATTTTCTTTATCCCACGTGGGGCCCAAATGCCACCTGTCATTTTATAGCCTTGATCACAACTTTCATGACTGAGTCTGGAAGTCGTCTGTCAATGTGACTTCCTTCTCTGTACCTTCCTTCTCTTTGAAAGCTGTATTCTCCAACAGGGGACAGAGAGTGAACTTCAGAGCAAGAGTTAAATGGTTCTGACTGGGAAGCCTTTCTGCCATTGACCCTGGTCCATATTCTAAGCCAAGAGTTCTCAACCTGTGGGTTGTGACCCCTTTAGGGATTGAAGGACCCTTTTATCAGGGTCATCTAGGACCATATGCATATCATATATTTGCATTACAATTCATTACAGTAGCAAATTCACCGTTATGAAGTAGCAACAAAAATAATTTATGGTTGGGGTCACTACAACATTGGGAACTGTGTTAAAGAGTCACAGCATTAGGAAGGTTGAGAATCACTTTAAGTGCTGGAGTTGAGAAGAACATCATCTTTGAACACTGAGACATAGAACTGCATTTTCCACATTGCCCTCCTGCCTCTTCTTGTAATCTTCCCATGTGTCTCCATGTATTTTCGGTAAAATTTAAACTCTTGGCAATCCCAGTGTGAGCAGGAACCCTGCCTCCCTAACCTCCTCTCACTCCATTGGCCTCCTTGAACACAAAGTTTTTGTAGATTCACTTTCCGATTTGTCCAAGAAATCTTTTTTTTTTAAACCTCAAGACCTTGATACATGTTGTACATTCTGCAAAACATCTACATTGTCACCCCATGTAGATTCCTTTCTCCTTACTAGACCTAAACTAACCACACTTCCCTGGGTCCTATGACAACTGAATCCAGTTCTACATTGTAATTGATCAGTTCTTTATTACTGAACTCCCCACTTATGTTCCATGGCGGCAGTAACCTCCTGAGTCTGTTATACAGCTTCACTTTCCCCACATATGTAATAGGAAGTAATTATTTGTTGAACCAGTGGGGGCTAGATGGATGGATGGGTGGGTGGATGGATGGATAGATGGATGAATGGATGGATAAAGTTGAAGTCTATAAACTGAATTCTTCACCAACTCCAACCAAGGTAGTTTCATTCACGCTGCCGCTCTACTCAACCAGTCTTCTGGAAACACTTTCCTTGTCCAGAGCTCAACAAAGGCACAGCTCAGAGCCTTGTATTCCATCTTCATTCATAACCTCGCACTTCATATGCATTTATTCAGTCTATAATCTGCAGTACTGACTGGTTTAGCGTTCATCTGGTGTACCAAATATATATGTGTATTTTGTGACCACCCATAGAGCATATTTCCATTGTTCATCGTTGAATCACTCTTAAATTTCATTTAAGTTGTAATTGTTTTAAACAGTTTATTACCCTAATGATTAAAGTAAAAACAGAGTGCATTCATTCATAGTCAAAGTACATCATATAGTTGTATGAAAAATGAACTTATGAAACTCAGTACTATGTATCATGTATATTAAAACAGAAAAAGTAAAATAGGTTAAGAAACTGAGAGAAATACTTAATAAAATGAAGCAAATCTAAATTATACCTAATTTATCCTCTTTCCAAGTTAAATAAGCACAAAAATGGTTCTCTTACACTTTACAACTTTGTAATCTAACAGAATTGTTATGTAATGTGAACTGAGTGCTTCCTTATGACGATATTGGTAATACACATACATGATATATATGTGTATATATTATATGACACCTTTCAGATGCAGGGGGTGAAACACTGGAATATTTTGATTAGAACTGGATCCCAACAAATGTATCACATTCAAATGTGTAATGCACTAAGCGTTCAGAGGCCATTTACCAATTGTGTTCTTACAAAATGTCTAAAAGAATGAGTTGGGAACACCTTGGATACATCTTTCCCCTAGTGACTTGTGTTGTCCTTCTTTTCCAGAGTGACCGTCTCCTAATCAAGGGAGGAAGAATCGTCAACGATGATCAGTCTTTTTATGCTGATATTTACATGGAAGATGGCCTGATAAAGTATGTACATGAAAACTTCTCCTTTTCTACTTCCTCTCTGCCTAGGAAGTAGCTTCAATTTCATAAACAAACTGAAAACACTGAATTTGGTCAGAAGAATCATTCTGAGGACCCCTTTGAGCAAATTGTATTAAATGGAATACCAGGGGCATAGAATTCAGAGTGAGGAATTGTTAATTACAACAGCATGTTTATCGATCCCTAATGTGCTTAATAGCATTTTGTGGGCTCAGTAGAGATTAACTTTTAATCTATACAACTCCAATGAGGAGCTACTGCGTTTTACAACCAAAAAGAATTGAGTCGTGGTGAGATTAAACACTAACTTGGCTATGGCTAGTAACTGGAAGAGCCACGGCCATGAATCCAGGTGGTCTCCATCTGAGGGGCACCCACACAGCATAGGCGTGGCTATCAGCAGAAGAATGGTTAAATGAGAAGATGGAAGCTGAGATTTCAGAGATCATGGTGATCTTAATAAGTATGTTGTAGAAAAATGGATGAGGTTTTTCTGTTCCGATAGGGTATCAACGTTAGTTGCAAAAATGAGTGAAACATTATATATAAAATACATATAAACACATCACACAGGTCCGTCAATTCTTCATCCTCTTGGTTCTTAGTTTCTCCTGGAAGAAGAACTAAGAAAAAAGAGTAACAGAACTGACCAATATCTGGACCAGAGTAGAATTACAATCAGAGGCTGCATTTTTCCCACCGTGTGTTTTGAGTTGTGGTGGCCCTGGAATGGCCCCATGCTGATGCGGTCAAGTCGTACTCTTAGACACGTCAGGAATACATTAGCTGTGAACCTAGAGTTTGCCGGTCAGTGATGGATTTTTTTTTTTACTACCCCAAGAGAATCTTTTTAGCTATGCACAGAAGAAAAAGTACTCATACCACAAATAGTGGGTTACCCATGTGCCCAAACTAGGAGATATTTCATGTTAATATAAACTGTGACTCCTAGGTCTACCATCCGAACAGACTTGACCAGATGCCTCCACCAAAGCTATAAAATCAAGCAATGTTGCAAGTAGTGACCTGCAAGCAGCATTGTGAGGGATAGGTGTCACATTCCTTGTGAGGTGTACCTTTGAACCACTCACTGAGCGATCTCCTCCCCACCCCCGTTCCTAGCTGGAATGCGCTAAAGTTTCCTGGGAGATTGCCATAATCATCTTCCTTAGTCTGACGCCTCTATTAAGATACTGCAAGAGCAGTCGGTGTAGGTGAGATCTGAGTGTGTGACACTTTCCTTGTGAATCTGCAGTGAGACACCCTTGGCTGACCAGGAATGACCCAAGTCGAGGTCCTTCACTAGGGCACCAGAAAATCAGCTTAGAAGATGACGCAGCTCCCCCGCCTGTTGTTGTACTGTTGTTGTACTGCGTCTTTACCTTCTTCTGTTGCTCCTAACAGCCACGTGTCCTTCACAGTCTTCACAGCTTCCGTCAGGGCCATCCCACACCTCAAAAAGAGCAAAGCGAAAGAAATAATGAAAATAGTTATGTAAAAATATTAGTCACATGCTGTATTCTAGGTTTTAGCAATCCGTAGATTTCGATACAAAACCATAACACAAGGCCCATGCAGATAATTTTGTGTCAACAAAAAATGGTTTTGTATACACAGCTATCTACCTTTGCTTAAAGATTCCTGGACTTGTGACTTTGAAGATCTGGTGTCTAAAACCCTTATATCCTATGCTTGTCTTGAGGGTGGTTCTTTTTTAATTGTCAGTTGTTGCACTGTCTCCCCAGGCAAATTGGAGACAATCTGATTGTCCCTGGAGGTGTGAAGACCATTGAAGCCAATGGGAAGATGGTGATCCCTGGAGGCATTGATGTCCACACTCACTTCCAGATGCCTTACAAGGGAATGACCACAGTGGATGATTTCTTCCAAGGGACAAAGGCTGCCTTAGCGGGTGGTACTACCATGATCAGTAAGTCCCCAAACTAGACACATTCCCACTTGTCAAACGCCTGCTCTCCGCTAATACTAACACCGGACACAGGTCTCTCCATTTGGTTTGTGAATTTATGTTCCTGGAGGTGGTTACTCTTAGGAAATCTGCCAGTCTCTGTAATCGCCCAAAGGAGATCCATGAGTCTCATGACCATGAAAGCAACTGAAAGGAAGATAAGTTGGAAAGAGTGATCACTGAGACTTGGGGGATTAGTGGTCCTCGGTGAATTTAGTGTTGTTGGATCTTTGCTGTATTTTGACCAATTTGTGTCTTTAAGGTTAGCAAAGCTGTGAGTGGTTTCCTTTACTTATTTTTGTTTTGCTTCTGGTAACGACTAATTCTGGGGAAACTTGGGAAGTGGCATGTCCTTGGATTACTGAACCCATAGCGTTCCAGGCAGCCCTTCCTGTCCCGAGGAATCTCAATGGACTGGGTCCTGGCCCAGAGCTAGCCTCAAACTCGGGAGACAGAGCACTGTTTACTTAACATCATATTCGTCTACCCACAGGCACAGAGCAGCCTGAGCCAGAATTACAGTCTGTCTTGACCTTCCTTTTGATTCAACCACTAGCAGCAGTCAACTTTAGATAGGATATAGAAACCCAGAAAAATTGCAACAAGGCCATAAAAGGTGCACTCCAGGGAGACCTGCGTTTTCTTCCAGCTGGTGGGAGGGTGCAAACTGACATCTCAGCAGCTATCTGTTCAGGAAAGCCCTCGTGTCCTCGAATACATTAAATGTATCTGGGTGGATTTAAGTTCCGATGGGTGCGCTTAGGCTCCTTTGACAGAGGAAACGCGTGATCTTGGCTTTGGCTTGGCTGGTTGCCATCTAGGTGAGGAATTGGGCCTGTTCGGCTGGTCCGTCTTGTTCCTCATGCTTGGTCTGCTATGCTAGTGAAGGGGTAGAGGGAAAGTCAGAGATCTAGGTGAGGAATAAAGCGTATAAGGAGCCAGAGATGCATGCTCGCCCTTCAGAGATAACTTAGAATTTCTAGACGTAGAGCAAGCAAAGGATACACACAACCCTACTTCATGTTAATGTGTAGTTTCCAATTTAACAAGAGGATCACAATATTTGTACCATATTTCAAGCCGCAATTTTTTACTAAGTCATGGATGGTGAATGCCCCTTTTTTTTTCTTTTCAAAACAAGAACTCTGAATCTAATCTCCTTTGTTTGTTTGTTTTTTCTGACCATTATCAATAGCAACTTGTAACCAATACTCTAAACAAAGACAAACATCCATAATCTGTTTTTTGGGGAAAGAGGGTGTGGTTTTCTGGGCTACTTCCTGATGAGTGGGGATTGTGCTAATCTTATGGGCACACAAAGAAAATTTAAAATTATAGTCAAGTCCTGACTGGAATATCCTGTGAGGCTTGATCATCTAAGCCAGCAGTCTTGAAGCTGTTCTGGATGCAGAACTCAGAGGAAACTGCAAGACAGGTCCTCTGAGATGTTGGATCATCTGAGCCATCTGCTCTTATTGGAGATTCTTCAGGGGGGCTTCCTCAATTAAACCTGATTTTTCTTGACCCAGAATTAATTCACAGCCTCTCATTTCCTGTGAAAACAAATGCAAAACTTCTTCTCCCAAGTAACATATCTTTTGACTTCAATTTTGAAGTCAAGGCATTTTCAAAATATATAGGTTGGATTAATCCAGCAGTACTTATAATCAAATGTCTCTTAGCAGCCATTGCTCCTTGATCAGCTGTTAAACAATTAAAAGACAGCACAACAACATACAGTGTCAAGACTCTCTGTGTATTTTCCATCTTTACATGTCTTTTTTTAAACTCTATTTCTTTTATTTTTATTTATTTTTATTTTTAATTCTTGGTCTTCTCGAGGCAGAGTTTCTCTGTTTTCTTTGACTGCCCTGGATCTTACTCTGTAGACCAGGCTGACCTGAAACTCACAGAGATCCACTTGCCTCTGCTTCTGGGATTAAAGGTGTGTGCCACCACACCCAACTATATTTATTTTTTAAGGACTTTATCCTATTGTGTCCCCATAAGTTTTTTTCTCTTCCAAGCCTATATATATTTTCAAAAATACTGTAAATGATTTAGAGGTTTGTTTTTTGTTTTTATTTTTCTCTGAATGTGTCTTTTCTGTGTGTCTCTATCTTCTTCTCACCACATGAGTCTTTAGTCTGCTAAGCGACATGACTATGATTAAAGTCGCGGCTTTGGTGGCTGGATCCAGCCCCTCCTTGGTTTCCTGAGAGTCTAGCTTCATGGAGGAGGTACTGGTGGGAGCCACGTGTTTTTACCACAACTCTGTGGAGTTTCTAGGTCCGTGCCACCACCAAGAAGCGTGCTGGTGGCTGCTCATAAACATCATTTAAGTGTTTGGCTGTGGGGCCTCTTAAAAGAGCTGCAAGGTTTGAGCTGCTAACACTGAATCAGGAAGCGTCTCTTAAAGGAGACACTCTTGCCTCCAGCAAACAGAGCCCGCCAGAGAAAATGCTGCTACCAAGAAGTCGTGCTTAACTCTGTTTTTTTTTTTTTTGGTTTTGTTTTTTATTTGTTTGTGTGTGTTTGTGTGTGTGTGTGTGTGTGTGTGTCTAGAATTTCTTCCCAAGCTCTCTTAGGTTTTATGTGGATGTAGTTGCCCCATGTTGGTGCCATCTGTACATGGAGTTTCTGTCCCACCTGGTTCCAAAGCCATTCAGTCACAAAGAAACACACAAAGCATTATATTAATTATAAACTGTTTGGCCTTTTAGCTGAAGCTTATTATTAACTAGCTCTTACAGCTTAAATTAACCCATATTTCTTGCTTTTGTTTAATCACATAACTTGGTATCTTTTACCAGTGAGCCACGCTCATCTGGCTTCCTCTGTGTCTGGTGGTGACTGCAGACTGAGCTTTTCCTCTTTCCAGAATTCTCCTAGTCTGCCATTCCCCTATACTTCCTGCCTGGCTATTGGCCAATCAGCATTTTAATAGACCAATACGAATGACAAGTCTTTACAGGGTACAAAAGCATTATCCCACATCAATACATCAAGAACTCCTTCTATCCAGGGAAGAGGACACGACTTTTGCCACTAATGGAGACTCAGTCTCATAGCATGTACTCATCAAGATCTAGCACATATTAACACTTAGATGTGCCAGGTATCAGTGTAGCACCTTATACACGTCTTATCACTTAATCACACAGCAAACTCAGAGGAAAACTGCTCTCATAACCTATATCCACTTAAAACTCATTTGGAGAAGAGAAAACTGAGGTTTCAGAAAGCTAATCATTTGTCCCAAGTCCCCATGTGAGATATCTAAATCACTGGTATCTTTGAAGGCACCAAGATACAGAGGCTGCCAGAGGGAACAATTTTGCCGGGTTTGGTGAAGAATCAAACTGTTCTCAGTTTAAACATCTGGCCCTCATCTTTCAGTTGACCACGTGGTACCCGAACCTGAGTCTAGCCTGACCGAGGCCTATGAGAAGTGGCGTGAGTGGGCTGATGGGAAGAGCTGCTGTGACTACGCTTTGCACGTGGACATCACCCACTGGAATGACAGCGTGAAGCAGGAAGTGCAGAACCTCAGCAGAGACAAAGGTGAGCCAAGCACGCTCTCCAGCCTCCTCCTCCTGTCTCTAGGCTGCCTTGTCCGCCCTTCCCACAGCATCCCACTCACGTGCGTCACTCCCCTGGTTTAGAGACTGGTCCCTTAAGCATGAGGGCTGAGTGTGGGGCTTTCTAGAGTGTAGGCACTCTATACTTTTATACAGCTTTGCTTATGTTTAACAGAATCCTCATGGGATAAGTAGTGTTAGTCACTTTGCAGATGGAAAACTGGAGGGTCAGAGTAACTGCCCGGGATCCCGTTTAGTGAACAATAGATCTGTCCAGAGATGATGATCGCCTCCAGGAATATTTTACTTACGTTTCTATTGCTGTGATTAAGCATCGTGACCAAAAGCAATGAGAGGAGGGAAGGATTTGTTTCATTTTGCAGCCGATAGTTCATCATTGCAGAAAGTCAGAAGAACTCAAGCAGGGCAGAAGCCTAGAGACAGGAACTGAAGTACAAGGCTGGAAGAAGCACCACTTACTGACTTGCTCCTCATGACTTGCTTAGCCTGCTTTCTTATAGCACTTCGGACAGCCAGCCCAGGGTGACATTGCCCACACTTAGCTGGCGCCTCCCACATCAACCATAACAAATCAAGAAAATGCAGCCCAGGCTTGCCCACAGGTAAAGGTGTTTTCTCAGTCGAGGTTCCCTGCTCCAAAGTGACTCTAACTTGAATCAAGTTGACCTTAACCACCACAATACATGATTGCCAGTTTTGCAGAAGGAAAAACTGAGGCAAGGTGACGGATCCTACCTGAAGTCACATCGCTACGAAAACTGAGAGCAAGGATTTCTAACCCCAGTCAGTTTTATTCAAGACCAAACTATTAATATTATATAATAACGACATCCGCGGGAAAGGCAAAGACATGCCAGGAGCAAGGAAAAGATTGATCTTCTCGTTAGGAATGAAAATAGGTTCCTGCAGTCATGCAGTATGTCCCCCGTCCCCCCTCCCCGTGTGTGTGTGTGTGTGTGTGTGTGTGTGTGTGTTGTTGGAGGGGGTCCTCTCACTGAGAAGATGATTTTAGTTCCGCCATCTTCTTAGATTCTTCTGTCTTCTGTTTTTTCCTATGTTCTGATCATCAGACATTCAGCACCCACAAGAACATATATATACTTATGCAAATATGTGTCATGCCCTCAGCTTTGTCAGGGGATCTAGGAACTCAGAGATGGGTAAGCCTCTGCTGATGGTCTAGTACAAAAGGAAGCAGTCCAAGAAAAGGCAGCAACAGAGATGCTGAAAGCACATGACCTGTCTGGTCACTGTGCAAGGACTTTAGGAGAACGTGGTGAAGAGGATGCTCCCTTCGAGATAGGCTTATCTTTCTATCCCTTGCTTCACCCCATAAATCCTACCCAACCCTTGGTAACAGAAAATATGCCCTTAGCCCCTCCCCTTTCTTGTTTTGTCTGTCATTCAAAAAGTCAGTGTTCTAACCAGCACACAGGGTCTGGGTCATTCCAAGGATGACTTAGAGGCTTTTGGAAAGGGAAATGTTGTGGAAAGCTGCCCTGAGCTGACCCACACTGAGTGGGGACATTCTTGAGCTATAAACCACTTTTGGCTGGGGCGACTCTGAGCTAAATTGACCCTAATGGTTAAACCAAAATTATTTTCCTTTCCGCAAAATGATTTTCTGTTCTGCCGTTCCACCTACCTATTTATTTTGGGTGAAAATCGATAGATTTTTTAAGTACAAGGCACACATTGCTATCTGTCCCCATTTGCTCTGGTAGTTCTCTGCACCCAGGTTTTACATCCGTTTTTGTTTCTACATTTGAAATTTAGGTAGTGTTGTGTGGAAGAGTCAGTCTTTAAAGTGGATGTCTTAGTCAATGTTCTCTTGCTGTGAAGACATCATGATCAAGGCAACTTCCAGAAAACATTTCGTTGAGACTGGCTCACAGTTTCTGAGGTTTAGAGCATCTTCATCATGGTGAAAGGAGTATACAGGCAGATCTGGTACTGGAGAAGGAGCTGAGAGTTCTACATCCAGATCAGCAAACAACAAGAGGAGAAAGACACTGGGCCTGGCTTGAGCGTTTAAACACCAAAGCTACCCCAAATGACACATTTCTCCAACAAGCCCACACCCTAATCCCTGTCACTTAATCCCTCCTCCCTAATGAACAAACAAATAATTGAACCTGTGGGGGGCTTTCCTGTTCAAAGCACCACAATGAGTATATAGTCAACACCCTTTTATTATAAAACTCCAAAGTATTTCTAGGTTAAAAAACTAGATTTATTCTTTTATTCCTTTTTTTTCCTAGACAGGGAGACAGGGTTCTTCTGTGTAGCTTTGGCTGGCCTGGAACTCACTAGGTAGAGCAGGCTAGCCTTGAACTCAAAGAGACCCACCTGCCCTTGACTCCCAAGTGCTGAGATTAAAGGCATGTACCACTACTACCCGGTTTATTCTTTAAGTAAATTATAGAGAATGGAGGGTAAATAATATACTTACAAAACATGTATACACTCTGTGTATGTGTGCATGCCTTTGTACATGTGCTGTGCGTGTGTGTATTCAAAAGTACAATTTCAGTAACAAAATACATAATGTAAGTATATGTCTGCTGTATCTTAGAAACAAATTGTTAGGGGTTGGGGGATATAGGATTTGGGTTTTATTTTATTTTGATATAGGGCCTTACTGACTGGCCTGATAACCTTTTATGTAGTCCAGTCAACCTCAAACTTACGTGGCACAGCAAGGGATAGAAAGGAAAATTCCTGGGAATCTTTCTGTCTTTGCTTCCCCAGTGATAGGATTAAATGCTTGTCCTGTCACCAGACATTGCTCAGAAGAAGTCTTTAAAGTTAATTTTATTGCTATCTTTCTCTTAGACACCTCACCCTCCAGCCTAGTATATAACCAGTCGTTCACCAAATAGTGAAATAAACCCATTTCCATGAAGACCAAATGCTTGCCTCCCAGGAACTAAAACCCTTTAAAGGGTGTTGCCTCCTTTGGTGGTGATCTGCTACCTTATGTGGGAGGAGTTGTGTTTCCAATGTATAGGGGAGGAAAGGGAAGCCCAGAAGTTCAGCATTCCCACCTCATTGTAGGACATGGTACATCCAAGTGTTACAACCCCTGATGTCTAGGTACAGCTGGTGTGCTATTGTGATTTCTTTGGTGTCTGCTTCCGCGAACAATATAAAAGTTATCGATCTTCTGAATTGCAGTGCTGAGAACTGGGGTTAGCAAAGGATACAGAAGACAACAGGATTCTTCAAGGAAACACTTTACAAACTATTGATTTTATAGGGCAAAGGAGGGCATGATAAGATGGGGCATTCAGAATGTCTCCCTTCTATTGGGCAAGCACCTTATCTGTGTGCTTAGGGCCCATGGGTGAAAGCCAAGAGAGGTGGCGGTGATAATTAATGTCATCTTTTTCCTGATTTCCTTCCTTCCCTTGTCTTGCAGGTGTTAACTCCTTCATGGTTTACATGGCCTACAAGGATTTATATCAAGTGTCAAACACAGAGGTAGCAATCCATTTGGCTGTTTTGTTTGGATTGTCTGCATGCATGGGTTTCCTACTGTTACTGATGACCTTTGCCCTAGAAAAATGGGTCACCGAGGTTACTGTGGAGGGCCACGGTGTCAGGCTGTCTACTGACACTCTGACTTATAGCCTGCACTGCATTTGAAAGAAGTTAATGAGCAAAGCAGAGAGGAGCTTGAATTTCTACTGGCAACAGTTGTCTTGACGTATAAGGGGCAAGTTCTTGTCTCCAAACCGCTCACAAACCCAGTGAAAATGTGTAGTTCTCTGCTTCATACGGTCAGGCGGGCTTCCTGCTTTTGTTACCAGCTTAACTGTCATCATTGTAACCATTGGCCTGCCCCTAGGAAGTCATGTGGACACTTTGCTAGATCGGAAACAATCCGGGGAATTGTAAGAAATTAGTACTCTTACCTTCTAGGTGGAGAGTAAAGATATGTTTGTCTTAAGAGGTTCAGATTAAGAGACTGAGTATTTTGTTAGCTTTGTCCAGGATGTACGGGGCTTGTGGAGAGAGCAGTGGTGAAGAATTCAGAAATTCTGTCTCAGTTCCGAGGGAAATTACTCCATGAGAGTTGGATGCCAGAGAGACTTTCTAGATATTGGCCCTGTCTAAGTCTAGACAAGTCTTTCGTAGAAATAAAGCCTCTTAAAATGTCTATTTTGTTTGTTTTGCTTTTGTTTGTTTTGATTTGATTTGATTTGGAGACAGGATTTCCCTGTTCAACCCCTGGAACTCGCTCTGCAAACCAGACTGGTCTCAAACTCAGAGATCAGCCTGCCTCTGCCTCCCCAGTACTGGGATTAAAGGGGTGCCCCACCGTGCCTTCCTAAAGTGTCTTTTGACTACATGCCTCTCTGGTTTAAGACATTGTTTCTACTCTGGTTTTAGTAATTGTCCTTTATGTGAGGTTGTCACTTTCTGTTTCAGCTCTATGAGATCTTTACCTGCCTAGCAGAGCTGGGGGCCATTGCTCAAGTTCATGCCGAAAATGGAGACATCATTGCCCAGGTAACATCATGGAGCAAGTCTTTGTGTGTGTGTGAGCTTGCGTTTGCATCCCATCCATTTCCTCTCTTCAACATGACTTGAAAGCCCCAAGTGCTCAAGACTACCATAAACACATGACTAAAGCCAAAATCCATGCTAAAAAAAACCTCAGAGCTCTGGGCTCACACTTGTAATTCCAACACTGGGCCTGCAGAGGAAGAAGGACCGTCACATGTTCACAGTCCTTAGCCGTAATAGTGAGCTTTTTATTTCTGGCTGTAAAAAGGGTATCTTAAAGAGTTAATCTTCAACTGCACTGTGGTGGTGCATGACTTTAATCCCGGCACTGGGGAGTCAGAGACAGGTGGCAGAGTTATCTGAGTTCCAGGCCAGGGCTACACAAAGAAACCCGTTCCATGGGGGTGGGAGGCGGGGGGAGGGGGCGACAAGAGGATTAATCTTCAAGGTCAAATAGTGACCTTCTTTAATCCAGTAACTTTAATCCACTTCTTTAATCCAACTCTTTAATCCACTTCTTTAATCCAGTAACTCGGGAGGCAGAGGTTAAGAGGCAAGTGAATTCCTGTGAATTCCAGGCGAATTAAGGCTGCAGAAAACCAAAACCCAAACAAAAAAAGAATTAATCTTCAGAGAGTTACTAATCTTATAGGACTTTTTTTTTAATAGTTTGCCTGATGCCCTCCTCTCCATTTGTTCATTTTGAGACGGCACCTCCAACTCAGATATTTATTTAGTTATGAAGACAGGTATGTCTAAAAGTGGCCTACTAAGTTTTCTCTCCCTAACAGAGTTTACACCTAGAAACTTCTGACTGGTGTAGAAAGAAGACAGTGGGTGTGATCTTGGTTGTCCACCTAACTGTATCTAGAAGCAACAAATTCCTGAGCACTTTAATGTAGGGTTCTCTCTCTCCCTCCACCCGGTACCTTGCCCTCTTCCCCCCACTCCCAGACCTCCAACCTTGTTCTGAGACAGGATTGACCACTGATCCTTCCACGTACCCACCCCCACTCCACCCTTCCTGCTGGGCACTCAGAGATACCTTTGGCTCTATTGGGATTAAAGGTGCGTGCCACCACACCCAGCCACCAAGGATTTTCATTGGAGGCGGGAGACAGACCCCACCTAAATGTGGGCGGTATCTTCTGGCGCAGTACAGATAAAAGGACGCGCTGGAAGGAAACCTTACTTTTAGGCCATTTACCCTTGCTCTTGCTGGGAAGTTGCCCTATCCAGTCACTCGGCATTCTTTAAACGATATTGGGACCAAGTTTTTTGGGGATTTCAACAAAAACCGACGACTGAAAGACCATAGCACACCAGGATAACCTCCAGCCTTCGATGCCAGATTGGAAATCTGCTGGGAAGTCTAGCCTCCTGCACTAAACAACTCCAGAATAAGAGAGACATTGACGTTTTGACTTCCCTGATATATCCTTATTTGTGAAGTCAAGACTGCTTCTACAGAGTTTAGGCCATGGCTCATATGTACCAGCACCAAGACCCCAATTTTTACAACACTGGACAAGCAGAAAGAGAGGTGGAAATCGATGATGAGCAAGAGACTGCGCCGGCAGAAGAAAGATGCAGTTTTGGCGACAGTGCATTAGGCTTCTTCGTAGAGGAACCCAGATACCAAGATATCCCAAACCACCAGGGTGATATGAACCTTGTGGTCTGCATTAGCTTTTACATCACCAACCCAAGCCAAGGGAGCTACCAAAGTCCAGGACAGCTACAGTTGGAGGGGAAGGAGAGCTCAGATGCCGGAGTCCCACAACCTGCTGAAGTCCCTCTGTGCGCTGAAATCTCACTGTCTGCCGGAGTCCCACAACCTACTGAAGTCCCTCTGTGCGCTGAAATCTCACTGTCTGCCGGAGTCCCACAACCTACTGAAGTCCTACAGTGGTCTGAAATCCCACTGTCTGCCGGAGTCCCACAACCCGCTGAAGTCCTACAGTGGTCTGAAATCCCACTGTCTGCCAGAGTCCCACATCCCTGGAGGTACACTCGACCGCGGATCCGCCGGTGTGTCACGCCCTGGCAGCTGAGAGAGCTGGAGGGAGTTTTCGAAGACGATCCGTACCCTGGTGAGATCACAAAGAAGGACCTTGCAAGGCGCCTGTATATGAAAGCATCTGAAGTGCACTGTTGGTTTAAGAAGCGAAGAGCTAAGTATAGGAAAAGTCAAAGATTACAAATGGCCAAGGGTGCCCCGGATGGTACCCAAAAGATCTCTCACGAAAGCATTTAGAGGAGACCTGGACTGCCATCCAACTCCAGGTGTTATTACTGCTGACCCTTCAGCAGTAAAGAAAGATAACTAGTTCAAGGTCAGCAATAGCTGACAGAGAAACCTTGATTTAGAATACACAAGAAAACCAGACAAAATCAAACATTGAGATAAACACAAGAGTCTAATAGTCTGTAGACTATTGGAAGACCAAAGAAAATAATAGTAGAGGAAGCGCAAGAGATGAAAACATGGAGAAACTAGAAGATTCTTGGCAACCAAGCTATATTAGAAAGGATTGTTTCAGATTGGGCCCTTCCTTGAGCAGGGCAGGTTCTTTGCTGAAAATAAGCCAAGCTCCACGACGTTCAATATCATAAGGTGGCATTTTTCTTAAGCCAGAAATTTGATCCAAGACTGCAGATCACACAGCATATGAGCTCAGAGGTTGTGTGCTTGGGGGACCCTTGCTCTTCATGTCCCATAGTACAGCTGTTGGGATTTCAGAGTCTCAGCAACATCTTAAGAGTGGAGGAGGTGAGCTAAGTGCAATTTCCTCTGACTTATGGCCAGGACATTCTTTCTTCCCAGGTCTCCCCCATATCCAGACTTCATGAAAAAAATTTTTTTTTCACAGAGGGCACAGTTGCCTTGCTCTCAGGGGATGGCCCCACAGATGTTAGAACTGTTAGCCCTCCCTTTCTCCATGGTGTTCAGCTCAGCAGTCAGAGGTCCCAGCTCCTCTTCTACTGCGAGGAAATCCAAACTCCTGCTTCTATTTCAGGACCGTGGTTCTGAGGCTCCAAGTCAAAAAGCATCACTGTTTGGCTCCTTTCCCCTTGTGGCTCCTCAGCACAGATGCTCCTTGGGGTCCTTCATCCTACCCTTTCCCGACCTTGGGAAGATCTGTTCTCCATCAGGAGAAAGAATTGGGCCATTTTTTTTTCCATTTGGACGAGTTTCTGGTGTGTATTAGATTCAGCTTTAGCTGAAGATTGTATCGCACCATCTAAATGAAGACAGCTGCTATCCTCAAGAGTTTTGTGCTATACTTCTGCAAAAGCAAGAGCCAAGTAAAATCTCCTCCTTTGCGTACAAACAAAGACAATTTTCAGACCTTTCCAATTCCAAGCTAGACTGAGCTTTCTTAAATTTGCCGTTGAGAAATGTCGTTGTGCAGACAGGAACATGTAGCTCCTTCTCCTCACTGAAGGCTCTGCCCTTGTCTTAGACAGAGACAATCACAGAAAACTACACCCTGGTCAAATACAGAGTTCTGATGCCTCCTCGTTGGGTCTACCTACAATACAGCTCCTGCACCCAAGACTCAAGGAACACAAGGAATCAGAAAGCTTGTCAGAACCAGTGGAGTAGGAAGTCTGATATGAGACTGTGTCTCCCAGAATGACAAGAAAGTTCTCCCATGATGTTACACTTTGCAATGACCCAAAGAGGACCTGAACATGAACCCTGATATGGTAACTCAGAAGGGCAAACTTGCATGGGTTCTCAACCCTGAGCAAAGACTACAGGCAACCAGTGACTGCGGAAAAAAGGAGAGCTTGTCTCTCCCAGGATGAGTCCCTAACTGGTTGTCCAATGCCAAATAGTTAGCCTTAAAATTATGTACATACAAGATTTTTGTACATATATATATATATATATATATATATATATGTAATAAATGTAATTAAACAAAAAGAGGCTAAGGGGCCATGGATTTGGAAGGAACTAAGGGGTGGGTATATGCGAGGGGTTGGAAGGAAGAAAGTAAAGGGAAGAAATAATGTATTCATATTTTAATTAAAAAATAAACAAGTAAAAATCTTTTTAAAAGAAACTTGAGTCTGTCAAATTCAAAACAAGGCCTGTTTCCTCCGTGGAGCAAACCACAGCTGTGCTATGACCAGAATAGTGAAGTCATGGCTGTAAGTACACCTTGAAACAGTGTGTTTCCAGATTGTGACCTTAATAATGTGGCTGCATCCTGTGTTAACAAATGTAACCAGGATAGAGGTCATTTAAGGTAGAAGATATGTAGTTGTAAACCTTAGTCTTTATGTGCCTCCTCAGGGAGGACTCTTATTGGAGTCTGGAAGAAAATATGTCTAGAATTCAATCAATGAGAAGGGCCAGAAGACAAAATGGCTGTGGTTTGATAGAAAAATAGGACTATGTGGGTTTTAGAGAATTTACTATGTGTGTGATATAGTGCTGACTTTTTCCTGCCCCTCCCCACTTTATTTTTTTGAGACAGGGTTTCTTTGTGTACCCTTGATTGTCTGGGAACTCACTTTGTAGACCTGGCTGACCTCGAACTCAGAGATTCCCCCACCTCTGTCTCCCAGGCACTGGGACTAAAGGCATGTGCCACAAAGCCCAGCTTCCTGTTCCCTTTTTAGTTTGTCTGGTTTCTAAACCCACCCTCAATTAATCCTGAGACACACCCAGAGGTCTGAGACACACCCAGAGGTATGCCTTACTAATCTAGTTTCCTAGGAGATCATAGATCCAATCAAGTTGACCAGGGAAGGCAAACCAAGACGCTTAACCAACACACACAAGCATTTTCTTATCCCTCCTCTTAAATCTGCATTACTAACAATAAAACAGAGCTTCTTTCGAGCCCCTAGGAATCCTTTTGTGCTAACTCTGCCTCACAGGTAGCAGGTGAAACAGGCTTGGCCCAGTTGACATCCCTCCTGAATTACCACATTCTCCCAGGCCATTAGGCTGGGATCACTGAAGCAGGGTGCAACTGCAGATAATGGCAGCTTAAGGCTTCTGTTACCCCTAATTGTGTTCACCAGCGGCTTGCTTCTCTGTAAAAGTTCATAGGTGTGAGCGTAATTAAGAGTCTACCACAAGAAACATGGCCTTTCTGTCCTGCTACAATGTACGTAAAGTTTTGCTAAGCAGTAACTCAGGTAAGATGGTCAAGGGTCATGATTCTGTCTGGTTTAGTTCTGTATCCATACATCTGTATCCATCCATCCATACATACATACATGGGTTCATGGACTTAAAATAACAAATCCAGAGGCGGTTATTAAAATGTGAGGTGTCAGAATTTGACAGAGTAGCTTCTTCTTAGATCAGAATAGGATTGACAATCTGCACCTGGACTAAAGCAGCCCAAATGACTCTGATAGAGAGGGCAGGTGACCACACGCTGGGGAATCTGGCCCCAAACTGTGAGCTACATTGCCTTAGTCCAGGTGCTTAACCCAGAGTGTAGCATGGAGAAAATGTCAACACCTTTTTTTGAATAGAAAAAGCCAAATTCAAGATTGAAATCAGGCAAGAGGGGTGTTCTGGGGAGCTAGGTCTGAAAGTGACATTTTATTGGTTATGTATATGAAACACAAACACTTTTTTAAAATTGATTTTTATTAAGCTCTACATTTTTCTCTGCTCCTCTCCCAACCTCTCCCCTCCCCTTCAGACTCCCCCAAGGTCCCCATGCTTCCAATTTATTCAGGAGATCTTATCTTTTTCTACTTTCCATGTAGATTAGAACTATGTAAGTCTCTCTTAGTGTTCTCATTGTTGTTTAAGTTCTCTGGGATTGTGGTTTGTAGGCTGTTTTCTTTTCTTTTTTTTTTTTGCTTTGTGTTTAAAAACCACCTATGAGTGAGTACATGTGATAATTGTCTTTCTGTGTCTCGGTTACCTCACTCAAAATAATGTTTCCTAGCTTCCTCCATTTTCCTGCAAAATTCAAGATGCCATTATTTTTTTCTGCTGTGTAGTACTCCATTGTGTAAATGTACTACGTTTTCCTTATCCATTTAGGATAAGGTCGAAAGGCATTTAGGTTGTTTCCAGGTTCTGGCTATGACAAATAATACTGCTATGAATATAGTTGAGCACATGTCCTTGTGGCATGATTGAGTAACCTTTGGATATATACCCGAAAGTGGTATTACTAGGTCTTGAGGAAGGTTGTTTCCTAATTTTCTGAGAAATCACCACACCAACATCCAAAGGGGCTGTACCAGTTTGCATTCCCACCAGCAATGCAGAAGTGTTCCCTTTACCCCACAACCTCTCCAGCATAAATTGTCATCAGTGATTTTGATCTTGGCCATTCTTATAGGTATAAGATGGAATCTCAGAGTTGTTTTAATTTGCATTTATCTGATGACTAAGGATGCTGAACATTTCTTTAAGTGTCTTTCAGCCATTTTAGATTTCTCTGTTGAGAATTCTCTGCTTAGGTCTGTACTCCATTTTTTTATTGAATTATGTGTTCTTTTGATGACCAATTTCTTGAGTTCTTTGTATATTTTGGAGATGAGACCTCTGCCTGATGTACAGCTAGTGAAGATCTTTTCCTATTCTGTAGGCTATCATTTTATCTTTTTGACCGTGTCCTTTGCTTTACAGAAGCTTTTCAGTTTCAGAAGGTCCCATTTATTAATTGTTTCTCTCAGTATCTGTGCTGCTGGGATATATTTAGGAAGTGGTCTCCTGAGCCAATGCATTCAAGTGTACTACCCTATAACAGGAGGGCCTACTTGTTGGGATTTCTGTCCTGCCCAATTCCCACAGTTTTTTAGTCCCAGAGAAAATCACACAGAGAATCTGCATTAGTTATAAACTGATTAGCCCATTAACTCAGGCTTTGTATTAGCTCTTATAACATATATTAACCCATTATTCTTATCTATGTTAGCCACATGACTCAGTACCTTTTTCAGTGGGGCAGGTCACATCCTGCTTCTTGGGTATCTGAACAGGACTGCAGAGGAATGAGCTTTCTCCATCCCAGAATTCTCCTGTTCTCATTGACCCACCTCTACTTCTTGTCTAATTGTTTCGCCTATCCTTCCTGCCTGTCTACTGGCCAACCAGCATTTATTTAAAACATGATTGACAGAATATAGAATTGTCCCACACCACTTCCCACTTTCTCTTGTATAAGGTTCAGTGTGACTGGCTTTATGTTCAGGTCTTTGATCCATTTGGACTTGAGTTTTGTGCATGTGATAGATATGTGTCTATTTTCATTCTTCTATATGTTGATATCCAGTTATGTCAGCACCAATTGTTAAATAGAAACACGAACACTCTTAACTATTTTCCTTTTAATAGAATTGAGCCAGTTAACTTTTTGAAGATTCAACTTTACCACTCCAAATGTGAAATTATATACTTATGCAACATATCAATTTTATTTTTTTCCCCTGTGAGTGTATCTTAGCCCAGAGCATACAGATGTTTTTTTCACAAATCTTGGCTACAATCATCTAAGAACTTTCTTCTTTTTTTTTTTTTCTTATTTTAGGAGCAGGCCCGGATGTTGGAAATGGGGATAACTGGCCCAGAAGGTCATGTTCTGAGCAGACCAGAAGAGGTGGGTTTCGTGGATTAGAGCATCAAGGTCAGACAGTGAAAAGCCAAGATGGCAATGGGGGTTCTTTTTTACTGGTATTTTCTAGTGAAATTGACTGTCACAGTCCTAGCCTGCCACTCACTTTACATGTGGAGTGTTTCTGTTTGACCCTGATATACCGAGACACATCTATACATAGTGGAGGCATGAGCCGTGGTGGCTCGATGGTGACAGACTCTATGAGCGCCAGCTAGCACGGCTGGAGGACTTCTCTCAAAGACCTCTTCTGTCTAGAAAGGAATGTAAAGGGGATGCTCACCTCTGATCTTCAGTTGCAGGACACTCCCTGGGCCTTCAGTAGGAGTGGTGAAAGTCTAAGTTTTTGTTAATCATTGTGAAACTGGGGACAGTTTTATGCACTCTCTCATATTGCTTGCTCTGAGTCTTGCAAAACACAGACAATGTGGTTAGGAGGTTGAAGAGACTTTTCGTAGGTGTTATGCCTATTGCTGATTGTGGTCAGGGTTGGAAAATTTCCACTCCTGAAATGAATGAGAGTGTGTGTCTGCAGAGCCAGTAAAATACGACTAGTGCCTAATTCGTATCTCTTATATCAGCAGTTTCTTCTGTTGGTGTGGGGCTCAGAGCCTGAAATTAATAATGGCCCACCAATCTGAAAGCCAGGTGGTGACCAATCAGTGATACCCACGTCAGGAACCAATCAGTGATCCCCATGTCAGTGAAACTAATCCTGTCATGCCAAACTCCACAGAAGAACCAGAACCTAAAGATTTTGTTCTTTTCTCATCTCTTTTAGAGCCTGCAAAAAATTTAAATGTAATACAAATACAGAGAAATTTTCCTCTTACAAGGAGGCTATACATTTTCACAAGCTGAATACACTTGGATCAGGGCATCGAGATGGAGACAGAACCTGGCCAGCTTTCTAGGGGTTTCCAGTTGATACCAGAATGATAAATGATGATGTAATTATAATTAAAATTAACAATTGACATTCCAGTCACACATAACATTCCTGAAGAAAAAAAAATCTGTGCCATTATAATTTCAGGCCTTTTTTCGGGAATACTGATTCCTGGCAGTGCTAACTGCATGCATTCTCTCAGTTATTCTTGCTGCTTGTCAGGGTCGTGGCGCTGTGTGGGTAAAGAAGCTGAAGCTTGGAGAAAACGAACCACGGAGCTGACTGTGTTTAATGAACTGAAAAATCATTTCTATGGTGTCAGCTGACCATAGTGGTCGACACTGTTTGTGAAGCTATAAATGCTGGTCACTGGAGGGATGTGCTGGCGAGACAGATTTCTGTAGCCGCAGCCAGGGGATTTCACAGCATAGTCTATTTTTGTTCCTTGGTTTGTTTTTTCAACCTCACTCCACCCCCACCACCTCAACCTTTCCCGGTCCCATCGCCTTTTTAGTAAGAAGGCCACTTAGCTGTAAATCTCTACGAGTAAAACAGAAAGGTGATGCAACTTTCTAAAGATAGTCCTGTCCGTCGTGGAAGTGCGGCAGACCCTGCAGTGGCGGGAGGGAAGGAGATCAAAGGGGCCAGGACTTAGGTCATGGGGCTGCTGAAGTGGTCAGTGAAGGTCTGAAGGGGGAGTGAGCACAGGCAGAGCCAGCTGCTCTTCAGTTCAAAGCTCACCCAGATGTAGTCTCAAGTGGTGCTGTTCAGAAATGATAACCAGAGCCCCAGAGCATAATCTCCATGGTGCAGTGTCTGGGGACGTCAGAGGGCTTCACCTGCACCTAGGAACCTTCCGGAGGATGCCAGCTCAGCCAACCCAGCTCCTCAGGCTCACTGAACCACAGTCACCGTGGAGTGGCTGGCTTGCATTATGTGGCCACTAGACATCTGTAAGCTATTTGGAGCGTATTTTTTTAAGTGTTGGTCTGTGGAAGCTAACCCAGAAAGTCATATGCATATGGCTGATGATTCAATGAGAAATCACCACTGTCTCCACTCCAGGCCGAACAGGATTTGCTCAGGGTTTGAGCAATAGCATCCTTTACGTTAGTCAGAAACTGTGATCCACAATCACACCAACAGGCACTGTTCCGGGCACTAATTTTTCAAAAGGATTAATCATTTAATCCATTTAATCCTTGCAACAGCCGTAGATGCCAGGACTTGCTGTTCCTCACACTTAGACAGAAGGCAGCAGCCCTGGGTGCTTGGGTGATATAATTGAGGAACCACGATTCACTCTCAGTTCACCCAAAGAAACCTGAGCTCTCAGATTCCACTTGGTTAATCAAATATGGGGAAAACCATTGCTTCTTGTGTATTAAGTACAGCTGGATTAGTTGGCGTATTTGAAAACATAAACTCTACATGGAAGTAGGTTGGAAGAGATCAACAAGAAGAACAGTGTTTGTGCTCTGGGGTTTGACTCATTCTCATAATAAATCCTTCATAGCACTGTTTGCTCTCCCCAGTGCTGCGGGAAAGGACTTGAGGGCCCAGGGTGCCTGATTGTCTTCCCTGGAGACTCTAGACCTGTTGGTGTGACTGTTTTCCCAGAGACTTTGCCCTGAGATCCAGGAGTAGAGGCTTCCATTTGGGGAGGGGAGAGAGGCAGTGCTCTCAATACAGCCCTGTGCTAGCCTCTGAGTTTCGCTGCTGAGGGACGGAGGAGGCACTGAGTCACCCAGAAAAGTAGCAGAAGTGAGGGGTGGGGGTGGGCTGCATCGGAGAAGCAGATTCAGGCCATGAAATTTCAGATGCTCCTGGATGGCTCTTAACCTCTGCATAGCACTGTTTCACCACCTTTTAAAGAGGAAGAGGATCATGCTCTTACTGACTCCTGGGCACTTGTTTTATTTTTGCAGCTGGAAGCTGAGGCTGTGTTCCGTGCCATCACCATCGCCAGCCAGACCAACTGCCCCCTCTATGTCACAAAGGTCATGAGCAAGAGCGCAGCTGATCTCATCTCACAAGCCAGGAAGAAAGGTGATTAGTGCTTTTGGTTGTGAACCTCCTATTGCACCATGTGGCTCTGCCTCTCTGGCTGTTCACTGTAATAGAAATGGCGCCTTTTCTCTTCCTTGCCTGCTCTCTAGAAAGCCTCTATCTACAGCTGGAGTTCTGAGGTTTCCCCTATCTGGTCTATACGTAAACTGAGGCTCAGGAAGGTTAAGTAATTTGCCAGAAATAACAGCATGAATTAATTTCTCTGAGACTTGGGACACCTCCCAACCACTTTCCATCTGTCCAATGTCAGTTCGCATGATCTGAATTTTATAAATAGACTTACTAGTCAATATTATGCTAAATAGACATACCAGTCAATATTATGCTAATCAAAGATCCAGGCAAAACTGTCTTCCACAAGCAACCTAAAAAGCAAAATATTGGTTGTAACTGGGGCATAATTAGCTTGGAGGTTTCAGCAATGACACCAGTACTTTAAGGCTCTTGCCGTTTTCTTGGTTCACTTTTCTCCCTGATGATTTCATGATCAGTGTTAACAGTGACAGGAATAGATGATAAGGGGAGTAGGGTAGGGGTGGGAGGAGGATCTTATTGTCCTCAATTTCCGGTGAAGGATGCAGTGAAGAAATGGCTCAAGCAAGCATCTGAGAATATTGTGATTATCTTTTCTGGGGTCTGTGTGAATCCCTGAATCAAAGCATTGCCCTAAAGACAGCATTGTCTGGTCAGTTCTGAGAGTGCTCGTCACAGGGGTGAGGCCAGCACAAGTTAATTTAGAAAGGAGTGGAATGGCCTTGACACTGTGGTCTTCACGGCCAGGGCTCTGTCCTCACGGCCTTTCTGTCCTCTGCTGGTAACTGGGACTTGCAGGGTCTTGAGTCCCATTTCAAAGCTTTTTTGTTAATATAAATTTTGTATCTTGTCCTTAGTGATAGTCTCAGGGGTTCAGTTGTGAGGCAGCTGTGCAAGTGAAACAATGCTTGAGAAAGAGGAGACGTGGGCTGTGTTTGATGGGAAAGAAGATGGTCCCAGCAGTCGTGCATTTGCTAGTGCTGTGTGCTGATGGTCTGTCCTCTGCTAGCAGAGAGACCCAGGAGGAGTGACTCATCCGCTAAGGGGTCCTGTGGAGCTTCCAGGTGGGCGTGACTTAGGGTGCTTACTTCCAGCAGTGCTTCTCAACTCTTCAGCTTACTGGAGAAAGGCACCCCTTTCTCTATGGGAGAGGACTCTTTCTAGGTTTCCAGATGTCTTCCTAGCGGTCAGGTTCTGGGGTATTTCCCATTTCTCCATGATTACGATAAACCTGCTTTGTTGGCTCTCGGTAGGTAATGATGCTATCCCGCTAGATAGAGGGGTTTGGGGAAACCAGGGGAGCAGTTAAATACTCCTTACTAGAAGTAGGATGGGAAGAGGAGGGGAAAAAGAAGAGGAGGACAGCCCCCCATACTCACTCAACCCTGACCACCCAGTACATTAGCCTCTCATTCCCTACTGGAGTCCTATGCTCAGGATAACCAGGGAGCCCCGAGGATGGACTGTTTTCAAGCGTATGCTGTTCTTACTTCGTAGTTCATGGTAGAAACTTCTTTCCGTTAGCCTTCTAACCAGTCATGGATGTTTCTAACAAAAGCAGAAGCACTGTTAGAATTTTTCCCTACTTAGTATTCCAGGATGTCCTTACCAATTGATTGAAGTTGAAATGAAACCAAGCCTGTATAACCCTGGCTATGAAACCTCCTAAAATATGACTGTGCAAACTCTTGATGGCAGAAGCCAGAAAAAGATGAAGGTTGAAGTGTTAAAGATGCCCAAGACTTATCTGCATATTTCTATCCCAAGATGCTGAGGCAGAGAAATGAGGGACCAACCAACTTTGAGAAGAAGCACTTCCTTCTGAATCACTATCTCTCTCTCTTTTTAAACATTCAATACAAGCTCGATACTGCATTCAAGGGTCAGCCCCACCTTAATGCATTTCATATTGTTGGGACTCCAGTACCAAGTCGTTGTCATAGTGACAGATGCATAGTCGAGAGAAACAATGATTAAAAAATCAAACAATGACAGAATAAAAACACATAAGAGCCTCTTATCCTCTAGAATGGGTTTTACACTGTAGGGTCAAATCTTGATCTTGTAGCAGGAGGAGCTGGGAGTTCCCAGCAAAGTCGAGCACACTCAGGACTTTGGACCTCCGCAGTGGAAAAGCGTAGGCAATAAAGAAACCAGCACTGGGGAGAAGTCTCAGTTGGTTAAGTGTCTGCCTTGCAAGCATGAGGACCTGAGCAGCAAGCTGGTGTGGTTGCCTGTCCTTGCAGTCATAGCTCTGGGATGATGAAGACAAGAGGCCCCCTGGAACTTGCTGGCAAGTTAATCTTGTCCAGTTGTTCGGTGAGAGACCCTGCCCCCAAAAGTAAGATGGATGACAATGGAGAGAGGCATCTGACATTGGCCTCTGGCCTCTATACCCATGTGTACACATGCATAAATATCTTCCGAAACGACTTGTACTCACATGCGAAACACACACAGCGACACACACACAAGAAACTAGTATTTATTGAGCATCAACCATGTGCCAGATTCTTCACATATGCTAAGTCCTTTCACAAGTTTGGAATGTAAACAGCAGCTCATCTCATCAGTTCTAGGACACATTCCCTGATGGTTTGATATTTCAAAATGAGCATGGCTCTTGTAACCTGTATAATCAGTATATTGTATTATTTTCTTCATGTCAAATCTAAAATTCCTTTCAAAGGTTTACTGCCCCACTTTACAACTAGTGGCCTATTATTGTTGACAGAATACAAATTTGTTAACGGTTAATGGAAGAACAGACTAAAAAAAAAAGCTGTGAATAGAAGCGTGAACACCTGGGTTGCCTCACTTTAGAAACAAAGCCTTGAGGAGACTTGGAGTTCTGATTAGATATGCTGGAGCATTATCTATTTCTTGTGAACCTGACATCCACTCCTTGCAGGAAACGTGGTCTTTGGCGAACCCATCACTGCCAGTCTCGGGATAGATGGGACCCATTATTGGAGTAAGAACTGGGCCAAGGCAGCTGCCTTTGTGACATCCCCACCACTGAGCCCTGACCCAACCACACCTGACTACATCAACTCCTTGCTGGCCAGGTTGGTGCAGGAATACCACGTGTTCTGTGGAATCTTCTTGGGACCACCTGGGACGGGGGATCATGGTATGTTCTAGATGGTAGATTAGAGCCTGCAGCATCAAATTCTCCTGTAACCTTGACTACAGAAAACTGGCTCTTCCACATGACGCAACTGATACCACAGTTTCAGTGTGAATCATGGTCCTAGCCTTCGATTCCTGTAATGTACCAAGCTTGTTCTCACCCTTGTCCCTTATAACAACTTTATGAGTGAGGCACTATTATCACCATTTTACAGACTAAGCAATTGATAGTCAAGGCACTTAAAGTTATTTGTCAGAACTCAAAGCATTTGTCATGATGACACTTACCCAGTAATTATAGGGAGACTCAGTATCAGGCTACTGGTCATTTGAGTTCTTATATTTTTACATCCCTCTCTGTGTGTGTGTGTGTACTAGGATGCATGCCTACACACAAAAGCTTGCCTGCTTGTCTTTATGTGTGAAGGTGCCTGCTGAGGTCAGAAGAAGGGATGAGATATCATGGACTAGTTAGAACCAGTTGTGAGTCACCTCTGGTGACTAGTGTGACCAGTGAGTCACACTGGTGCTAGTGTGGCTACTGAGCACCAAACCTAGATCCTTTGCAGCATCAGCAATAAGCACTAAGTCATCTCTCTAGCCCTCATCTGATTCTTGGTTATTTGCCACAGAAGACATGATCTAATTCTTCTTCTTTGCTTTCTGGATGGGTAACTGAGCCCAGAGAGAAGAGGAAACTACCCACGCTCACTCACACAGCTTAGTAAGGGATATAGAGATTTCAAACTGAAAACATGATTTTGCTCCCCCGCCAAGTGTTATCCAGCTGTCTCTCCTAGTCACTCCTAGTCATGTGACGCTTTCTCCTTCTCCAGCGGTGATCTGCAGCTCTCTGGAAGTGCCCACTGTACCTTCAGCACTGCCCAGAAAGCCATCGGGAAGGACAACTTCACAGCCATCCCTGAGGGCACCAATGGTGTGGAGGAGCGTATGTCTGTCATCTGGGATAAGGCTGTGGTAAGGGACTGAGGTGGTCATGGGAGGGTGGCCCAGGTTAAAATATCAATGGACAAATCAAAGCCACAGGCGCCAATCAAGCTAAAGCACCGCCTCTGAGGGATGCTCCCATGGTGTGGGGAAGGTCAAGACTTGCTGAAATGTTCATGGAGCCAGGTTGCTCATGTGGTTTCGGACCTCACCTTCTAGATATGACTCCTGAGGTCTAGAACTCTAAGACGGCTTTCATACTTTAATTTCTTCATCTGATTTCATGAATAATCTGTGCTTGAAATGATAGTGAATCCATTCTTGGTGTTGAAAGAGCTTTATAACTTCTATCGAAAGGGTTGGATATGATGCTTTGAAATGACAAGCAATGCATTAGATTTGATGTCTAATGCCACCAAGTTATACTAAAGGTATCCCACACTGAGGGTGTTTGAACCCCACCAGATTATACAAGAAATTGACTCTTAGTGTCTCTTGGTCAAGCAGCATCTTTTTATCTTCTCTCTTTGTATCATAAAGACTGATTAAAGAAATAACCATGTCAATAAAACACTTCCCAAGATTTTAGTAAAAGTCATAAGAAATCCATTGTACAGTTAACCCCCCCGCCATGTGTAATGAAGTGCAGTGTCTTTAAACTAATGCCTTTTTCATCTACCCCTCCCCCATTGGTCACTAATTGAGAAAATACCTTACAGCTGGATCTCAAGGAGGCTTTTACTCAGCCAAGGCTCATTCTTCGGATGACTCTAGCTTGTGTCAAGCTGACACACAAAACCACCCGGTACAGAAGCTTGGGGATGGTTCAAAAACTATTTCTTTCTATACTCAGACTTTGTTTCAGGAAAAGAGAAAGTATAAGAGAGAGTCCCTTCTCTCATATGTTTGGCTTTTGTCTGTTTTTAAATATTTATTTATTTTAAATCCCAACTGCAGTTTCTCCTCTTTATTCTCCTCCTAGTCCCTCCCCCACCTTCCCTCTGTATCCCCTAATCCACTCCTCCACCTCTTTTCAGAAAATGGTAGGCCGCCCATGGATATGAACAGAAAATGGTATACCAGGTCGTAGTAAGACTAAACACCTTCCGTCATATTAAGGCTGTATTAGGTGACCCAGTATGAGGAATAAGGTCCCAAAAGCTAGCAAAAGAATCAAAGACAGTCCCTGCTCTCACTCCTAGGAGTCCCACAAAAAGACCAAGCTAAACAACGATCACATATATGCAGAGGGTCTAGGTCAGTCCCATGCAGGCTCCCTGGTTGTTGGTTCAGTCTCTGTGAGTGCCTATGAGCCCAGGTTAGTTGATTCTGTGGGTTTTCCTGTGGTGTTCTTGATCCCTATGTCTCCTCCATTCCTTCCTCCATCTCTTCAGCAGAATTCCCTGCGCTCTGCCTAATGTTTGGTCTTGGATCTGCATCTGTTTCCCTTAGTTACTAGATGAAGCTTCTCTGATGACAATTGGGCTAGGCACCAATCTTTGAGTATAGCAGAGTATTGTTAGTCAGCATTACATTGACATTGTTTTCTCCAGTTGTGTTTGTTTCTATCCCAGATTTCTGGGCCAAATAGCTTCTGAATCCTGTCACTCCAGGCAGCCTCATGGGTGGGCTCACTCTTGTGGTATGCGTGTGAGGCTGGGCCAGTCATTAGTTGGTTACTCCCACAATGTTTTATCTTTACAAATCCTATGCAAATTTGTTAAACTATAATGTAAAACATAGATATGCTACGTACAGATATTCTTGTCAATATGAAACCCATAACTGCTCCCTAAGATTCAGATTAAGATCAACCTGGAGACAGGCACAGACACACCGCCTTTGTATTGCAATAGGCCACGGGCAAGATGGATGAAAATCAGTTTGTGGCTGTGACAAGCACCAATGCTGCCAAGATATTCAACCTGTACCCACGCAAGGGGAGAATAGCCGTGGGCTCCGACAGTGACCTGGTCATCTGGGATCCAGATGCTGTGAAGATCGTCTCTGCTAAGAACCACCAGTCGGTGAGGCATGGGCTGGTGGGATGGAGGCTGTGTGTAGAGCTGACTTGGTGGGCCAGGTTTAGAGATTAGGGTAGACAGCAATAATAATCTAGCCCCCAAAGAGCTTTTGGTTTTGTCTGTGTATTGCTTGGTTTTGAAATCAAGATCTTCTGCTCAGTCAGGCTCCAAATGTGAATTGCTGTTAATCTTACTTTTGCTTCTGGTAAAAGAGGCACATACTCCCAAGTCCAGTTTGCCTTGAGTTTTATTGGCATAAGAAAACCTTAAACTGTTTCTTTCTCCTGTTTTCTGGGGTGAAGTAGTCAGTAGAGGGGCTCTGCCCACCTAGTCCCTCGGGGTTGGAGGCAGAGAAGAGAAACTCCTCTCCGCAGGCTTCCAAGATTGCAGAGGTTCAGACACACTTTATGTTTTGAATGAAGAGAAAGTTAAATATCTTCATTATTCACTCCGATTCTCTTAGAAGATTGAAACCCAAATCTAACACCTTAAAGCGGAACTGACTGCTTTGTAGTAAAAATAATTCTTGAAGGGGCTAGATGTCAGGCATCTTGCTTTCTACCCAGTGAATCTCATGAACAGTGACTACATTTGGGTGGGTATTCTTACCTTCTTTTGTAGTTTTGCCTATTTCTAAAAGTGCATAGAAAGTAAATAATTTATGTAGCTGGTGGTGGAGCTGACATTCAAATTCTAGAACCAAGCCAGTACCCTTAACCCCTACAGAGCTGTCCTCCTACTGAGCAAGTGAGGAAGGTAGGCAGAAATCATGCTTTGGGTGGTATTGCCCTTCGCTTAAACACCAAGTCATCTTGTGTTATGGAATTTGGCACTGGAAGGAGCCAAAGGGCCATGTGATTCTCCACTTACCACTCAGTGCAGGCTCCATATGCAGACACCTCTGGGAGTCTTGTAGCTGAGTTTCCAATACACTCAGCAGTGGAAATAGAATTTCAATTAAAGATCTTAATAACAAGTGAGGCACATGTCTTTACTTGAGGCATCTTAATTCAGGGTATGTTAGTCTCCTGTTTCTTACCAAAGCAACCAGGGGTGTCCCGAGCTTTGCCTGGTTCTATTTGGTGACTCAGTTCCTAGAGATACTGAAGGCAGGAACCAAAACACAGAAGGTAACCCCGTTCCTCTTTCTTTTCACCCTGTACGCATGGTCTGACTTTGTCCTCATCCCTGAATCCAGGTTGCAGAATACAACATCTTTGAAGGGATGGAGCTACGTGGGGCACCTCTGGTGGTCATCTGCCAGGGCAAGATCATGCTGGAAGACAGCAACCTGCACGTGACCCAGGGGGCTGGCCGCTTCATTCCCTGCAGCCCCTTCTCGGACTATGTCTATAAGCGCATTAAAGCCAGGAGGAAGGTGAGTGCCAAGGAGGCATACGGGTTAGGGAGGGAGTGGGGTCTCATTGAATGCCTGAGACTCAGAGGGCCAGTCTTCCTAGACCTTCACAGGGAAAGGCACGGTAGTAGCTTGGTGCTGAAGAAATACTGCCCAGGACCCACAATCTACAAGGAAGACTTCTAACAATGTTTTGGTCCAAGGCAGTTTTTACTTCCCCAGATAATTTCTCCACTTTATTATTATAGTCCTTCAGTTTAAAATTTGAAGTAGTTGATATTATGATAGCATATTTTCATAGAAAAAATTATTCCCAATGGCTTATAATAAGAACAGGTTGACACCCAGGCCATTTCTCTTCCAGCCTGCCCAAGGTTGCTTGGCTAGAAAAAAATGTCCACAATCCTCTCTCTCTCTTTCTCTCACTTCCCTCCCACAACTCCCCCACACACACCCACTTACACAAACATTTACACACATACACACGTATACATACGCACACACAGACACAGAGAGAGAGGAGAGAGAGGGGAGTTTGGGTTGATGTAGAGATAGGACCTGGCTTTCCCTTCAGAGCCCCTCTTCTCCTTCTTCAGCTTTCAGGCCTCCTTGGAACTTGAGGGCTCCACAAAGCAAAGTTAGCCCAGGCCCTGAGACCAAGATGAAGGTGTGAAATGTGAGCACCCTCCTCTAGCTTTGTCTTACTAGAAAAGGGGATAAAAGCCAAACTTGCCTAGTATAGACATTTTTGTTTGTTTGTTTTGTTTTTTGAGACAGGGTTTCTCTGTAGCTTTGGAGCCTGTCCTTGAACTAGCTCTGTAGACCAGCCTGGTCTGGAACTCACAGAGATCCACCTGTGTCTGCCTCCCAAGTGCTGGGATTAAAGGTGTGTGCCACCACCACCCAGCCAGTATAGACATTTTTTTTTTTTAATTAAGACTTAGATTCTGGGACCACAGAAACGCCACACTACAGCATTACCTGGGTGGGAAGTACCAACCCATTTCTCATCCCATGAGAGACAGCTGCACTGTGTCCAGGTCACTGCCCAGAAGATGGGATTAGGGCTCACTCCATGGAGGTTTCATCGTGGCCCATCTTCACTGTCGGGCTCATAGGAATGCATGTTCCCATTGCCAGACTATGGCCAGCAATGCAATGACGCTTGCAATACATGCAGGCTCTGCTCCCGCCGTGGGTGGTCTCACCACGTTAATCTCATAGACCATAAATGCCCCTGGGGGAACACGGCATGACTCACAAAGCTAGCAACCCCAGCTCTTGGCATAATTCCAACACAGAACACATAATTGATTGATACTTCTGGCTGGCTCCACAGTCCCCAGGCAAGTTCACAGCCAAAGGGCAGTGGGTCCGACCACAGACTCTTCAGTTTAGGGCTTCACAGCCTGACATGTGAAAAGCCCTGAAAACTCGTGGGTGGGTCTCTCATGGGACCTCATGCCGGCTGCGTATGTGACCTCGCCTGAGACACCTGTCCTATCCTGCTGGCTCTTCTCCAGCAGTCCAGATAGCAGACCTCTCTTCCATCACGTTCTTGCTTCCAGCTGCCATATTTTCAGATTCCTCTGCAGCCAACGTTGCCATCTATATCAGGGTTTATTCCACACTCAGCTGTTTCCCTCCCCCAAGCCCAACACCATCTCAGAGCCATTCGATCCTAGAAGACCAGCGGTTCTCAGCCTGGGGATTGAATGATTCCGATGGCCTACGACCACTGGACCACACCTATTTACATTATGATTCATAACAGAAGCAAAATTGCAGTGATGACGTAGCAGTGAAAATAATTTCATGACTTGAGGGGGAGGGGTCACCACCACATGAGAAGCTGTGTCTAAGGATTGCAGCCTTAGGAAGGCTGAGAATCACTGCTCTAGATGGAATCTCGTGAATACAGAGGCCTTCATGGATGCTCTCCACCCTCAATTTCTTGGGTTGATGTCTCTTATTTGACATCCATTTCTGCTGGTTTCTCCTGGATTCCTCTCTCGACAACCTCTAGTCCCTGATACATTCATACCTCCCAGAACATATTCTATGTTGTTGGTTCATTGAATGTCAGGATGCCTGGTGATATGTTTCTCTGACTGCAGATGGCGGACCTGCATGCCGTCCCAAGGGGCATGTATGATGGACCAGTGTTTGACTTGACCACCACCCCCAAGGGGGGCACCCCAGCTGGCTCTACTCGGGGCTCTCCCACTCGACCAAACCCGCCAGTGAGGAACCTTCATCAGTCGGGATTTAGCCTGTCAGGTGAGTGGAAGGAGCAGATGAAGAGAGGCAAGGAGGACGAGGAGGAGAAAAGCCCAGTACCCCTAGCCTGCAAACTCAAGGGAAATGCATTCCCCCGCCCAGTGCTGGTGTTCTCTCAAGGAAGCCAATCAGTGTTGGGAACAGCAAAGTTTTCCTAATCAGCAAGCGGTCTTGGTAAGAAAGTCAAAGGAGGCCTTGCCAAATTCAAGGTCAAGTTCAAAGGCTAGCAAATTCTACTTAAAGACTGGACCTAGCTGAGGGCAGGGCGATGGAAATGATTCCCACCATGAACTGATAGCAGTCTGACATGTGCATGAGAACGATAGTGCGTGCGTGCGTGCATGCGTGCATGCGTGCGTGTGTTCAAATCTCAGTGTGCATAAAGCTCAGACTAGTATTCATGTTCCTCAGCAGCAGCTTCCTGGAGCCTAGTTCCTCTCCATAGTGAAAATGATGCCCGCAATCGCATCCACTGGTTTCCATGGACTGAATATTTACCATGGGTTCCCCGTATTACCCATCTCATCGATTCTCCAAGAACTCTTTACTATAGAGAATGATTAATTGCTCCATAGTTGACTTTAAATGGGGGTGGGATAAATGGGAGAAATGCCGGTTTGCTTCTCTACGATGGAAAAAGGACATGCGAGGGGAGCAAGGTAACAAGACAGAAAACACATATTTATGGGGAGGGCACAGCATACAGAGAAAAGAAGGGACGAAGCCGGAGTAGAGACCATGGAGGGAAGGTTATGAGAGATTTAGGAAGAGCTGGAGAGGGGCTGGAGAGATGGCTCAGAGGTTAAGAGCATTGCCTGCTCTTCCAAAGGTCCTGAGTTCAATTCCCAGCAACCACATGGTGGCTCACAACCTCTGTAATGAGGTCTGGTGCCCTCTTCTGGCCTGCAAGCATACAAGCAGACAGAATATTGTATACATAATAAGTAAATAAATAAATATTAAAATAAAAAAAAGGAAGAGCTGGAGAGCAAAGGGCTCAACATTTTGTGGTAACCTTACCAAGCAAACAACTATTGCCAAGCGGTTTGAAGTGTGTTCACCTTTCTGGCCACACCAGTCCTTAAACATTCAGGAGCTCCTTTCTGAATGAGGCCAGGCACACGTTAGTTCCTCTAGTTACATAAAAAGGGACTTTGGCTCTCCAGCTTGGTGGCCTCGAACCGACCTCTCCGTTCCGGAATCCCTCCATCATGAAAAGTGAATTGTGTTTCTTTCAAACCACAGTAGTGAGGATGCAGTGGAATAATCCGTGGGCTTTAATGCAGGGTCAGCCACAGTCAGTAGAAGCAGCCATCTCCATGTTTTTGCTAATATTATTTACGTGTACAGTGCCAGATGAACTCTAGGGAGGAATGTGTGTTTTCCTACCAAGTCAGTATGAATAGGCGAAGTTAATGATTTGGTGTTAAGCTTCTTGTGCACCAGGAAAGTTCTTAAGATCTACTGCTCTTAAGTTACTCACTGTCTCTTTCCCCAACACCCTTCTCTCCCCATGTTTCTCCTGGGACTTTGTCTCCATCTGCAGGCACCCAAGTGGATGAGGGTGTCCGCTCTGCCAGCAAACGCATCGTGGCGCCCCCTGGAGGCCGTTCTAACATCACATCCCTGAGTTAAGCAAGCCCTCGCAAAGAGGGAGGCACAAGCAAAAAGAGATTTTTTTTGAAGCCAAAATGGTACATCGATATTTAAGAAGGAAAGTGAATCCAAACAGTTGCGATCTAAAGAATCAATAAGCCTCAAGCCTTATGTTCCCCAATGTTATGCTCGCTTGCCTAGCTTTATGAATTGCTTTGATTTCTGTTGATGCATTACCTTGATTTCTTTGACCCCCACCCCCACCCCACTTACATGCATGCGATCGGACAGGCCACTAAGGTAGAGTCTGCATATTATAGTGTTGAGAGCGTACGTAGCGCTGCATCTTACGACAAGGGGACAGATGAAGCTGGGGCGTCGACGTGACGAACAAAAGAGTATGAACAAAAGGCACGAAGGTTTCTTTGGGTGATTGGGTGGTGGGAGCCCAGGGCAAGGTGGAGGGCACAAAGGGGCTGGAGTGGGGCGTGTAGGAGGGAGGTGGGTGGGCTGGGGAAGCAGAAGGGCATTGTGTGTTGTGTTGATGATGTACATTCATTTCCACGGAGAATGGCCACACCCGGCAGCTGGATGCTGCGCCACAGTCCCCTGGGATCTGCAGAGAAGGCAGGAGGTCTTTGGGTTCTGGACTTCTTCACATCCTTGTCAAGTAGATTTTGTTTCTTTAATCATGTCTTAAGTGTCAGAATCCAGCCAGTTCTTCCACCTGTTTAATGATGCCAGTGTTGGCTTGGGCCTCTTCCTCATGCTGGTTTCTAATCCTCTTGCTGGCTTGTGACGACTGCGCAGGCAGAAGGCAGGGAGAGGTCTCTTTTGCTTTCTTGGTGCTCATCAACCGCTGCCATGGAGGGTGTAACACAGGCTCTGGTCAGAGAGATCAGTGATGTTTCCACGTCTTTCCCCTCGGTCCTGGGGAGGCAGCTCTTACTCTCCTGTCTGCACGCTGAGGGGAGACACATGCTCTTGCCCGCTGAGTTAGGATCCCGGCAGAGATCCCGGTGATGGGAGTGACTCTCTCTTGACCTTCTCAGATCCAAACACATTCGGGAGTTTTCTTTCTGGAAAACAGGCTTTCTCGGTTGTTCTAACTCTTGAGTCCTAGTAGTAATGTTAGCTTCTCTGAGAGTAAAGCAGAGATTTAGGGAAGCCAGCCTTGAGTAGCGGCAGAATATGATGTATAACCCTGTTTTCAATTCTAAGCCATGTGTTTCCTCTTCTACGGGCAGGCCCCAGGGCTGGGCTGCCACTTTTTAATTGGTACTAGCATCTCCAGAGCGAGATGCAGGAAGTGATGCGATGCACCCTTCTTGGCATGGCACAGAGGAGGAGAAGACGGCAATGTTTGCACCTCCTTTGTCTGCCAGAGGTGAAAGTCCGTGCCCCTGCCACACTATTTCCAAAACCAATTGTGCACCAGGTTCTCTGAGCAAGGCAGGGTCTACAGAAGCCAGTAGGCTCTCCTACAGGCAACATGCTATCAACCTTGGCTCGGACTTCGGTGCTGTGAAGGCCCACTTGGTAAGGAGCAGCACACGGCGGATTAAGTCCTTTGAGGGTCAGAGCAGGGCTCACACGCCTTCTAAGAACTTAGGGGAAATCTCCATCTCCGCCAGCAAGTGATTTTTGTTTGTTTTTGTGTTTTTGGAGGTGGAGGACTTTTGTTCCTTTTGTTTTGTGGGACTGGACAATGGAGTCCAGGACCTCTCTCGCGCTAGGCAGGCGCATCCTGCCACTGTGCTGCACAGGGCTTCAACCCTGACTGCAGGTTTTCATAAAACTCAGAAGTAGCGAAACACGAATGGCTTGACTAAGAGTGAATTTGGAAATAGCAGAGGAAGAGGATTTCCCTGAGCAAGCTAGTTTCTGCTCCAAGCATGGGAAAGGCTCGTTCAACTTCCTAACAGGGAATTTTACTATTTTAGAGCTCTCATGGTGCTTTCAATTTAAAAGAACCTTTAGCAGATGAAAATGAGGGGGATGTAGTCTTGAATTGCAATTCAAAGATTTAGGGATTTCTCCAGGAACTCAGAAAGATTTTTATAGGGAGCGTTCTGGATCTGCAGCGTGTACACTATATATATATACCTCAACAGCCAGGCTTGGCTGCAGTATAGGGTGTAGTACCACCCGTAGCCATTAGAGGGCGGAAGCGACATGTAAATTAACTAATTCTGGGCCACCCCAACTGTGTGGTGGTTTCCCATGACTGAGACAAACAGGTCGCTCCAGGGCCTCTCTGGTCATAAAAAATAACCTTCTCTGGGCCATCGGCACTGCTCTTGGAACTTCCACAAAGTGCCGCTGTGCTGAAACTTTGTTCCACTCAAGCGTTTCCCGTGAGGGTTTCTTGAATCCCTCAAGGTTGGCCGGCATCATTTTGGGATCCCTCCCTTTCTCCATTCACTATTAGTAACAGCCAAGCATAGAAATAGCTGAGAATCCCTTTGACACCTCCTCCACTATTTTCTTAATATGAGAATTTTTCTAAGCAGCTTGTTCCTTGAGTTAAATTTCTATATTTAAATTGGTTCTGCTCGTAGATACATCAGACAGCACCAGTCACAGGGTTTCCCGGAAGGAAAACGACCAGGTGTGAGGGCTTCCTTCAAGCTCACTGGCACTCCATCCAAGGGTGGGAGGACATGTTGGGTACTAACTTCTCTCAAGAAGCTTTTGTCATCCGGGCTTTCCACTCAGCCCCCTTGAAGAAAACCATGTCATCTCCAAACCTCAAGTTATTTCTAAGCCCCGATGACAACCTACTGACATTCGTTCTGAAGGGCCACAGACTTGAGTGGTTGAGACCTTCCTTCTGGAGCAGTTTTTACTCAGCTCCCAGAGTAGAGATATTTCTTTTATGTCTAAGTTTTTGAAACTAATAGAATTATAGTGGTCCTCCAAAATACTCTTTCCCCCACTTCAAAGACCAGTGGTTCTTTGGGTCATTTCTTCATGACGATACTCTGAAATCTCATCTCATCTCCCAAGACCTGAGTCCTAACTCTGGACTCCCTTTTGCTCATTCTACCAAGTCCCTACCAAGGGGCGAGTGCTTCTCAATACTGATTCCTGCACCAAGCCCCCAGATCTTCTCCCCTAGACAGCCCCAGCTCGTGCCCCGATGCAGTCATGGGCTGGCCGAGGCAGCCAGCGTTCCTCGTAATTCCCCTTTGAGACATGGTGTGTGGGTGTTCAGTTCTGTGTCTGGTGCCTATGGACAGACAGTGCGTCTCCCTGTGACCTGTGCTAGCTGTGAGGCAGCTCGGAAACTGAAGAGCTGTTTGGTTTGAACCGTGAAGAAAACTGTGTATTGAGTTAGCTGAGATTAAAGAGACAAAAGCTCATCAAGTGACTGTTAATGTAAACCTGGTTATTAAAATAATGACAAAAAAATTACCAACACTGCTCTCCAGTCTTTTGTGCCCGCAATGCCATTTCACCTAAGATACTGAAACTCGGGGAGACTGGGAAAATTATTCAGTGGCTGAGAGTGCATGCAGTGTAGAAATAAGGACCCGAGTCCCCATCCCAGCATCCACATAAAAAGCTGGGTATGACCACCAGGTATGTCTGCAACCCTAGTATGTAGGTAGGACGGAGACAGGAGGATAACTGAACTTCCTGACTTCAGGCTCAGGGAGAGAGAGAGAGAGAGACCTTGTTTCCGGTGGGGGAAGTGATAAAGCAGGGCATCTGATGTCCTCCTTTGGTCTCCAGGATCATACATATAGATGCCCAGCCACACAAAAGTGTACACGTTTAACACACACACACACGCACACACACACACACACCCCACATAAAAAAATGCACAAGCCAAAGAGACAGAACCCTCACAGTAAGGCACAGTTGGTAGATAAACCAACAGCAATCGTGACTCTGACAACGGCAGAGGTATCTGCCTACAGTTTTCATTGAGATTAAACCATTGGTCATTGACCTGACAACAGCAGTTGAGACTTTGGGGAATAATTAAGGTTTTCTGATAACCAGTCACATTCATTATTACATAAAAAAAACATACATTGTGGGATAAGTCCAGCTGACTCTAAGACAGAACTTGTAAAGGGTTTTGTTTTACTGTTCTTTCGTGTGTTTCTGTCTTCAGCCAACCCTTGTTACTATGCTGTTCTGTAAAGACGGCCTACTTATTTCTCAAAGCCTAGGCTTGGAGGGAAAGCCCCCAAGTGAATCCACACCAGTTTTTTTTTTCTTCAGCAAGTTCATCTCAAAGAGACCAATGCGTATCTGAAAAAGACTCTTGACTGTGCCCTCCCTTCTGGGAGCTTCCCTGTGCACACTAGGAAGTTGGGGGATCTGACTAGCATAATGGGTCTTAAATGTTGTCCAGGGTTGGGGGGATGCAACCAAGGGCTAGAGTATTTGTTTACCTACCAGGCAGATGGCTGTCGGTTCGATCCCCAGCACTGCACAAACAGAAACAAACAACCAACCAAAAAGAACCCACAAATAACAAAGAAATGAAAGTCCAGTTCTGGGCTCTTGGATCATTTTGGCTGCTGGACCTCCATCACATCTCTTCCTGTGCTGGGAAACATCCCTGGATAAAGTTCTTGTTTACGTAGGGCATTCAGTGGTGAGGTATCCACTGGTACATGGGTGGGGCTCGAAGTGAAGTTTTAGGCTGTCTGAGGAGCTCAGACAGAACTGGTCAGACACGGCATTGTTAGCTGTTAAGTGGGGAACCCAGATAACTTTCCGTCTCAGTCCAGCCTTCCTAAAGAGGTGCTTCTGCCTCTGAAAAGCTCATTCCTTGTGGAGGCAAAACCAGTCATTGGCATCTCCAGGTTTTTGTTTTGCCTTCCTAGTGAACCCAGAAGAGAGATATTCTCTCCATATTCTCAGCCAAAGAAGATAAGTTTGGTCCCCCTCGAGACTGGTGAAGCCTGTCTCCCTTTGCATGACCAAGGAACAGCTAAGCCTGGTAAAGACTTGAGCGACTTTAAAAGGAGCCATTGGCACTTCCAACGATCTTAGGATGCAATGTTTTGGGAAAGATTAAACAGCTTTTTAAAACATTGATGACAGAGACACATTGGCTAACTTTCATACCTACGGAGTCTGGCAGTGTTCAGCAGCTGAGTCACACTTGACCAGGTCAGGAATAGGAACACCGAACAGGGCTAAGAATAGCAAAGGCATTCTGGTTCCAAAGAACTTTCAAGAACGAGCTCTCCAAACACAACA